CTGCCGCCGCCGAACCCCCACGCAGCCTCGCGAGGTCAGAGAGCAAACGCTGGAGTTCAGTTGTCCCAGCGGAGGACTCCGCAGTAAATGCATCCAATGCGGACTGGAGGTCGAAGACCGCGGTCTTGAACTGAACTACGAGGTCTGCTGAGGGCGAAGCCAGGGTCGCGTCCGCGTCCTGATAACTGTCCACAAATCGCCTGTACATGTCTCGCTCCTATAGGGCAAAGCAGAGGAAGAGGTGTTGGTGAGAACTATGACTAGAACCTACTAATAACTTTATGTCAGTAGATTCTTTTGTTTGAATTTGTGGAACACTTCATAGGGTTTCTCGCACATCGTAATTTAACACGACCATCCTTAACGTAATCCCCATAAGAAGATAAATAACACCCCAAAATTCCATCCGACAGTGAGTTACACTAAGGTGTTAGCCACTGGCTCACAAGGCCAGCCTAGTTCGGGAATTAAACAACTCAGTAGGGCACGTATCTCAGCCTGTGCGAAAGACAACTACCAAAGGCCACTGGCATCATTGACCGGCGGAGGGGGGTTTTACAGAACGATTGATACGCACTGCTATTCCGCATAATTTCAAGCACAATGTTTCAGAAGACGATCTAACTCATGCAGTGTCATGATCGACATAAGTATGAACAGTTTAGCGTACAAACTGTTATTTTGCTGATCCTAAGATTTCCAAAAATAAGGAACAATTTTTGGGTTTAATTTAAGTCAATTTCTGAAGTCTTTTTGTCACAAAACTCATTTATAAACTAGTTTGACAGTACTTTGTTTCACCGTACCGAAGATGCGGGATCGCAAACACAATACGCTTATTTTAGCGTGGAGACCGAAAGCAGTCTATAGCAAAGCATTAGACGAGGTAATACCTTTTTAGAATGCAGTTTCCGATAATTCTTAATTCGGAAACGGAACGGACTGAAGATAAACAGTAATAGAAAAACGTAATAAATATTTGGCTAATCTTTGGTGCATTTGCAACCAAACAACGGCTAAATGTGATTAAATATAGCGAAGAACTGTCTAATATACAGAGCAAAGTGCGTTCTTTCGGCTCTATCAGAAATTAAATCAATACTTTTCAGGAAATCCATGTTTACTTTGACTTTACCCTGGAAAAAGGTTACTTATGTAGATATCTGACGATTAAATGTCTAAGTAAGGTGCCTTTTAAAGCGGTAACTTAGGGGAAGTTTCTTAATTGATCATAGACCTTATACTCTCAACTGTCTGATCATAGACCCTTTGTTGTGGACGTTCACTTTTATAGCCAATGATTTTCTAGGTCTGAGCCATCTCAATAAGAAAGAATATCGAAGACTCACTTCTTCCTTAAAAGCTTTTAAGAAGTACCTTATTTTGCGGATTTTGATACACAAAACGAACAGAATTTAAATCTATGGACAAGAGCTGGAAATCACGGAAGTTAGAGAAGGGCCTGACACTAATTGTGAACCCATACTAGAAATACCTGTAAGAAAATTTGACGAAATGTTATGTTTACAATTTCACCTGACAATTCTACTTACAACTATTGGCCCCGGTTTTCGGAACCTGAGGCTTTTACACAAAAGTTGGCATTGCCAAAGAAAGTACCAGTACTTTCCCTATTTCGCTCGAGTTTTAAATTCACCTAGGGTAGTTCATCCTTATTTCGAGGTTTTCATGCCTGCGTTAGTGCCCGTTTGAGAGTAATCATCAATCTTTCCTCAATTTCGGCAGTTTGCACGACATAGGCAATTTACTGTCCCAGTCCACTTAGGCAAAAAAGACTGACTGACCTGCTGAAGAATAGTAATTCTCTTGTTCTGTCGCCTATTTAGCTGCTCCAGGCACTTTAGCGAGGCTTCCAGGCGTTCCGTTTCCGTCGTGAGGAACTGAATCCTGCCCTTTGCGTCCGCAATCTCAACCTCATTGGCCTTAAGCCTAGATAGAACAAAGGAAAAAGCGGGTGGAGGGTAGTAGAGATAAGGA